CACATATTTCCACCTCTATCTTTTTCTCTCTTCTTCACAGGTCCCATTCCAGATGGTATCTCTCCGGTTTCCGGTTTCACTAATAGGGAACAAGGGTGTTTGTACTGACATTTTGTATGTCCAAACTGAATACCAATTTCAGCCTTGTCCGGCCAGCAAAGTAAGGCACAATTTGGTCAGCAAAGTAAGGCACAATTTGGTCATAGTTCTTCCTATCCTCACTTTTCTAATTATAGCTATCTTCTGTCTTCTGTATCTAAGGCATATGCACATTGCAATTATGAACAAATATGCAAAGGCAATGACAGCCACTAAAAATGGGGACTTGTTCTGTATTTGGAACTATGATGGAACCATAGCCTATGAAGACATCATTACACAAACAGAAAATTTTGACATGAAGTATTGTATTGGAACAGGAGCTTATGGTAGTGTTTACAAGGCACAATTACCAAGTGGCAAAGTTGTTGCCTTGAAAAAACTCCACGGCTTTGAAGCAGAGGTGCCAGCTTTTGATGAGAGTTTCAGAAATGAAATCAAAGTATTATCAGAAATAAGGATGGTAGTGTTTACAAGGCACAATTACCAAGTGGCAAAGTTGTTGCCTTGAAAAAACTCCACGGCTTTGAAGCAGAGGTGCCAGCTTTTGATGAGAGTTTCAGAAATGAAATCAAAGTATTATCAGAAATAAGGCATCGACATATTGTGAAGCTCTATGGATATTGCTTGCACAGAAGAATCATGTTTTTGATCTATGAGTACATGGAGAAAGGAAGCTTGTTTTCTGTCCTGTGCGATGATGTGGAGGCAATGGAATTGGATTGGAGAAAGAGGGTTAATATAGTGAAAGGCATTGCACATGCCCTGTCATATCTACACCATGACTGTATCAATCCAATTGTGCATAGAGACATATCAGCCAGCAATATCTTGCTTAACTCAGAGTGGGAGCCCAGTGTTGGTGACTTTGGCACTGCCCGATTCCTCAGCCTTGATTCGTCCAATAGAACTATAGTTGCTGGAACCATTGGATATATAGCTCCAGGTAAATTGTTCCTATCTTTGTTATTAGTCTTCTTTTTTGGGTTCCTTGTTTATTTACCTTTGTCTTTTAGTTTACGTGATTTGGCCGCGAGCTTGCCTAATCCATACATATAACAGGTAGAAGAACTAGTTTATAATACTTGACCTAATACAAATTATAGATTTCAATATTCTTAATTTTTTACTATTTTCTATTTGATCTTTGAATCTTCCCATGATAATGTTACAAATGCAGAGCTTGCATATAGTATGTTAGTGGGTGAAAAGTGTGATGTGTATAGCTTCGGAGTGGTGGCACTCGAAACTTTGGTAGGAAGGCATCCTAAGGAATTATCATCTTCACTTCAATCAGCTTCTACTGATAATGGCATCACATTGTGTGATGTATTGGACCAACGCCTCCCACAGCCAACAATGTCAGTTTTACTAGACATAGTTCATCTTGCAATTGTGGCATTTGCATGCTTAAATCCCAATCCTTCCTCTCGCCCAACAATGAAATGCATTTCTCAACATTTTCTTACTCAATTCACACCATTAAGCATTCCTTTGCGGGAAATTTCATTGCAGCAACTCATGAGTCAAGAACTAAGGCATTATTTAAATTTGTGAACTCCTGAAAGTGAAACTTAAAGTTGAAATTAGATGTTACCAGCATTCAATAAAAGTTTGTGTAGTTGTTAGGGTGAATTGTTAGAATTTAGAAAGCTTCATGAAGTTCTGTTTTTATGTTAAACTAGTTCTTGTTGAATTGTGATATGTTTAGTATGGATTATAAATTAAAAAAAAAAAAAAAAAGTTGCTATGGGTTTTGCTGTATTAATTTCGTAGTTATTCGCAAATCAGGAATATGACGTACAGTAGAAAGAGTGGTTACATTTTAGTGTTTTGGTAGTAGTGAGAATGTGGGAAATTGACTGAGGGGAAAGAAAATGATGATCCATAACTGTAAGAATGTAATTGAACCGATCACTGTTATGTCAATGCAGTGTCATTAACGTTCTGTTCCCTCCCGTGCTCCTTGTTTCCTTAGTTCACTCGTACTCCAAGCACATGAAAACTGATATAGTTTGAAATTAACGGTCTGAAATTTTTTGATTTATTGGTGAATGTATTGTCATCAGTGAGTTGTTAACGTTTTAATGTATGTAATGGTGTTGGAATTGAGTTTAATCAATCAAAGAATGTAGAATGCAATGATTGACTGTGTCAGATTAATTAATTGGACAAAACAAGTCTTAAATACACATAAAGAAAGTAAACAAAAAAAAATTGTAAAAGTATAGAGAAAAAGGAAAGGAAACACCGTTTGTGGTGCAGGTTTATGAAAATGGAGAATTGGTTGGGAAAATGCAAAAGGTGGATAATTTTTGTCCAAAGAAACGAGTCTGTTGCTTTTATTTTGCCCACTTTGCTAGTGAATGTATGTGTCAGTTGATCCGAGGGACTTGCATCTTTCTTTGCAATAATGAGATCTTTATCTATCTGTCTTTAATCTTTGCATTGCATTCTTCCTTCAACAAAGATGGTAGAGAAGCAATTTTGGGTTGCTTCACTCAAAGTGGGACATTCTCTGTTTTTGCGTTGGCCATGATCAATCATCATAGTTTTAAAACTCATTTGCGGATCAGAATTATGCTTCCAATATCATGATCCATCTAAGACTCAAGTGAAATTTGAACGGCTCCAGCAATCAAATACAGAAAAAGATCCTATATGAAAAAATTGAAAACAAAGATAAATCAGGCCAAGATGATAAAAATTAAATAAAAAAAATAAAAAAAAAGCTTACATATTTAATAAGAGACTTGTGAGGTGATAAATTCAGATAGTAAGGGTCATTCCCTCTGTTGAACAAATTGTCAACGTTCAATCTCTTCCTTTTTCATCTACTGCTCATAGAAAGAAACTTTGAAGAAATTATACACACCGGTGTACTTATCTCTTTCCGTAAAACCATCTCTTGTGATCTAAACTTTTGGAGGCCCCTCTGGTAGTTCATAAAGTTAATTCCAAGATAATAATGCTGTAAAATCCTGGCTTGACGTGCTAAACTTGGTCATGCTTCACATTCATTTGTAAATTATTTTCTCAAACAATATAATGTTCCTACCGATAAAAAAACTACACTTGTGTCAAGGCTTTCTATGTGGGAAAAATGGAAAATCACAAAAACTCCCCTTCCCTAAATCCTCAGCCACTTTCACACCAAACACTTTGAGCTAGATCTGTATTCTGCTCAATAAAAAGATTCAACTGACAAGAATCTGTGCATCATATCATATTACCTCTGTTGAACAAATTGCTGATGTCCTTACTAAGCTAGTGTCTCAGTCCATCTTTTGTGCTATGTTCATATGAAAAAAGGAAGAAAAAAAAAGTGTAATCAATTCTGACAAATATTGTCGTCCCTTGTTCCTTTCTTATCTTTTTCCTTGGCATCTTTATGATTTCTCTTTGGACCTAAACTTATGGTGCCCCTTTGGTGCTTCATAATGATGATCCCAAAATGAATGTTGTCCATGCGGAACTTTATTATTGACAAGTGACAACACTTTTAAGCTTCTTCTTCTATCTATTTATAATATAAAAATTAAGTTAATTTGTATTATGACAACGCATCATTTTAAAATAAACTTTAGGTATTATCATGTCTATGAAAATGTTAACTTGTCATTCTATAATTTCTTCTTTTTTCTAATATATCTCTATTTATATAAACCTAACTATAAATCCATTTCCGAAAACCTAGTTATAGTTCTACTTTAGAAATCATAATCTCTCCTGCACCTCCCAAGCAAATTGGAAATCATAATCATAATCCTACCACAACTAGTGTCACACTCCACCTCTTCCTTAATGACTACCTCCTTCTCAATATGACACTCCTATCCTCCTTTCCTTCACCGCGTTCACCTTGGCCAAATGCAACGCTGTTGGGTATATGCCTAAATATCTTAAGGAAAATTATATTTCAAATATTTAAATTTAATATATTTTGATTATTTTAGGATTTGTTTTCTTATTTTTAGAATAAGATAATATCAATATTTGATTTTGTATAACAAATTTTCTCTATAAATAGAAATTCATGAATAAAATTAGATTATGCTCTTCTGATAAAAAATAACTTTTATAAAATATCCTCTAAAAAAATCATAAAATAACCCCATCAAACGCCAACATTAACCTCTCCATGTCAACTGTGCTCAATGAGAATAAGAGGTTATCCATTTCTATTTTATTTTTTTATTTCTCTTTATGATAGATTGACAATCCTTCCATTGTCGTTACATGTTCCACCTCTTTCTCAACGACTACCTCCTCCACAATACGACGCCCCTATTCTCTTATTCTCCACCACCTTTACCTTAGTCAAATGTGATGCCAACATCAACCTCTTCGTGTCAATCCCACAGCCAATGCCTAGCTCCCACGGCCAACATTTTCAGTTTTATTGGTCATAGTTCGTCTTGCCACTGTGGCACTTGCATGCTTAAATTTCAATCCTTCCTCTCGTCCAACAATGAAATGCGTCTCTCAATGTTTTCTTTCTGAGCTCACACCAATAAACATCCCCTTGCGTGAAGTTTCATTGCAGCAGCTCATGAGTCAAGAACTAAGGCACTATTTAAAATAGTGAAGTCCTGAATGTGAAACTTCTAGTTGAAATTAGGCCTTATCAGCATTGAATAAAAAATTTGTTGTTTATTTGGCTGAAGTGTTATAAAACTTCACGAATTTCCGTTTTTCAAGTTAAACTAGTTCTCATTAAATTGTGTATATCAAATGGAATGTAATGGTTTGCTCGTAGGTCCGTGGTCTGTAATAAGATGTGTTTAGAGTTAGATATGTCTCTAACTTTGTTTTTTCCTAACTTAATATTTTGGTAGGACTACTCATTATGACTCGTATTTAATTTGATAAAGTTAGACATTGTCTGCATCATGCATGGAAGCTTTTTCGTTTTCCCTATGCCCATCCACATATCCTAGGTGCCATTTTTGTGGTTCTATGGGTTTGTCTCTCAAAAATGTTCAATGGAACGATTTTTTTATTTCTCTGTGAATTTCTTCATGTATGAATCATTATCAAAATTATTTTCAGTCCATTTAATTATTGAAATAATCAACATTAATCTCTTGAATTAGGTTAAAAGGTTTTGAATCAATCATATGCCAGGAAAACATAAGACACTAATTTAGCTTGAAATGTTGAAATTGGAATAATATATACGTTAGAGATAGTCTTTCTACATTAATTTTAGTATCAATTGAAAGCTGAATTTATACTCAATTAATTGAGTGTTATTTTAATCAAATTGATAAAAGTTAAAATGACCACAAAATGTGCTATTTGTTCCCATGCTGTCTTTTAGTGTTAGTTTCCTAATATTTGTATTCCAAGTGTACGATAAATTTATTTAGTGGCCTTGTTTTTATCAGTACTGGTATCTACTGAGTACTAACACTACTAAACCTATATCTGTTTTTTGCCTGAGAAGATATAAAGTCTTCGGTCTGTGTAAAATATAATAAATAATAGTACCTTTGCCAAAAAAAAATTGATCTAACTTACACAGTGAATTTAAAGGAAAAATATATTGTTTATTAGCAGGTTGGCATTAGCAAAAGCCAATAGTTGGATGGCCTGTGCCCAAACTTTGTCTCTTTCTCTTGGGGTAATTTAGGTTGTCAAGTGTTGCTTTATTATGCACTTTGTTGAAAACTCAGTTGTCTGGTGTGAATGAATGACTCTATCATGGAAGAACAACACCTTTTTATCTTTGATTCTAAGGCGTTGAGATTGCTTTTATGGAGGAAAAAAGAACAAAATATTTGTGAGAAGAGGTGAAGGAGAATTTGGTACAAACCTCTAAAGGCAACTATTAAGAAATATAAATGAGCCAAAATACAGATGATGCTTCAAGTTCAACTCTATCAAAGCTTATGACAAGTGTAATTTCAAAACTTTTATCAGTATGTGAATTTTCTAGTGTGAATTTCACGTCAATTGAGGACCATCCATTTACACAAGTCATACTAGAATAAGTTGTGCTAGATAACATAAAGTCATCATTGTTTCTTCCTTATCTCTTTCCATGAAATTGTTTACGACTTCTCTTGAGACCTAAACTTGTGGTGGCCCCTCGGATTGATCTAAAGGTTAATCCCAAAATGACAATACTGTCCTCATCATGGGACATCATCAGGGACAACAAATTTTAAGCATTCTCATTCATTAAACCCTTTATTCTAAGTTTATATTTGGAAAAATATTGGTAAAATTAATTTTGATTAAAACTATATAAAGATGCTTTAGCCTTAAAATCAACAAACACACTAAATAGATGTAGCCTCTGAGAAATGCATGCATTGAATTTTTCAAAGTTGACTCTAATTCAACAAATGCCGTGACTCCGTGAGTCAATGGGGCAAAGCATGTTTATGCATGTTTTAGTCAATCTTGGATTTTTTGAGGATAAACGAGTGATCAACTAACATGTTAGTCCCAGACATAAATAAAGTTCAGTTTCTCATAAATCTCATAAGCAAAATCTTTCTCTGTAAGATACCACTAACTATGGGATGCAGCATTTTGTTTTTCACAAAATATTTTGATCTGCAAAGGATGCAGAATTTCTCTGTGACTGCCTTTATTGTTATTTATGGTATGGTTATTATGGAGATAGTATTGGAGTTAGAAGCCGCGCCTACAGCATCGCAGCTTCGATCGGAGGCAATTGCAATAAAAAATAGTGGATGGTGGAATCAACAGCAGCCAAAACCATACGATATATGTTTGTGGGATGGCATAGTTTGCAACAACGATGGAAGCATAACAGGAATCACGTATCCGTTTATAACAAAAGGAATTAGATTTGCAACACTTAACTTATCCGCTTTCAAGAATTTAGAAAGGCTAGAGGTCTGGGAAAGTGGACTAAACGAGACCATCCCACAAGAAATTGGTAATCTCCCAAAACTCACTCATCTAGATATGTCCTACAATAATCTTTATGGTGAGATACCTTCCTCACTAGGAAATCTTACCCAATTAAAGAGCCTAATCATCTCCACTACCAGCATTCAAGGCCCCATTCCTCATGAATTGTTCTTCCTGAAAAATCTTACTGTGTTAGATCTATCTTGCAACAGAATCAATGGGACCTTGCCCATTTCACTTACAAATCTCACTAAATTAGAAAGGCTTGACATTTCTCACAATCTACTAGTTGGTTCCCTAGAACCCTTTTCAGTTGGAAGCCATGCAACACTAACCACTATTGACATCAGTCACAACTTCATTAGTGGTGAAATACCGCCAGAGCTTGGATATGTCAACTACTTTCCATCCTTAGAAAGTTTGGATCTAAGCTATAATAATCTTACCGGGGCAGTTACTCTATTCAACAAACCTTTCTCTAATTTGAACATTTCATTCAATTATTTAAAGGGTCCCATTCCAGATAGTTTCCCTGCTTCTGCGCTCGTAGGCAACGAGGATCTTTGTAGCGACATATTATATACTCAAACCAACTTCCAATTCCAGCCTTGTTCAGCCAGTGGCAACAAGGTAAGACACAAACTGGTCATAGTTCTTCCTATCCTTATTTTTCTAATCTTGGCCTTCTTTCTGCTGATATATCTATGGTTCATTCACGTTAAAATTAAAAACAAACATGCAAATACAACCTCAGCAACTAAGAATGGGGATTTGTTCTGTATATGGAATTATGATGGAAGCATAGCCTATGAAGACATCATTAGAGCAACCCAAGACTTTGACCTGAAATATTGTATTGGGACAGGAGCTTATGGGAGTGTTTATAAGGCACAATTACCTAATGGAAAGGTTGTTGCCTTGAAAAAACTTCATGGCTTTGAAGCAGAGGTGCCGGCTTTTGATGAGAGTTTCAGAAATGAAGTCAAAGTATTATTAGAAATAAAGCATCGACATATCGTGAAGCTCTTTGGATTTTGCTTGCACAGAAGAATCATGTTTTTGATCTATGAGTACATGGAAAAAGGAAGCTTGTTTTCAGTCCTGTATGATGATGTAGAAGCAATGGAATTGGATTGGAAAAAGAGGATTAACATAGTGAAAGGCACTGCACATGCTCTTTCATATCTTCATCATGATTGCACTCCTCCTATTGTTCACAGAGATATATCAGCCAGCAATGTATTGCTTAACTCAGAGTGGGAGCCTATTGTTGGTGACTTTGGCACAGCCAGACTCCTCCAACGTGACTCATCCAATAGAACTATAGCTGCTGGAACCATTGGATATATAGCTCCTGGTAAATCATTCTTTAGCCCTTGTCTTCTTTTGGTTCCTATCCTTTTTTTTCTTGTATTTACTTTTGTTTACATATTTGACATGCAGTTGGACTAGAGTTCATATGAATTGTATATTTTGTCTAATATTATTAATTTTTTATCTCATCAATGCAGAACTTGCCTATACAATGGTCGTGAATGAAAAATGTGATGTTTTTAGTTTCGGAGTAGTGACACTTGAAATTTTGGTGGGGAAACATCCTAAGGAAATCCTGTCATCACTCCAATCAGCATCAACTCGTATCATCACATTATATGAACTATTGGATCGGCGCCTCCCATCACCAAATATTGAAGTTTCACTAGACATAGTTCGTGTTGCTATGATAGCATTTGCATGCTTGAATCCCAATCCTTGTTCTCGTCCAACGATGAAACAAGTGTCTCAATGTTTTTTGAGTCAGCCAACTCCATTACTCATTCCTTTGCATGAAATTTCGTTGCAGCAGCTCGTGAGACAAGAACTCCAATCATCTGGAATTGTCAACTCCGCGTAGAGAAACTTCAAAATGCACCTTTTTTTTTCTTCTATCAATTATTAAAGACTTGGTCAAAGTCCAAGTATTATTTGCAGGCATAGTTAGATACTCCCTCTCTCATAATATGACTGATGTTTAAGCATTATGAAAAATCTTCTTAAATAAAATATATTATTATTTTTAATATAATATTAATTATTATTTTGTTAATTCGTTCTTTCATAAATTTTTCTATCATTCCAATCAAAAGTATTACATTTATTAACATTTTAATAAAATCATATTAAAAAAATGATATATTTATTGTTATCATAAGATTATGTTATAATATTTACATGAGAGGAGAAGATTATTACATCTTGTTCTTAATCGAGGGTATTTAGTTTGTATCCCAATATTAATCTGTGAATAAATCTTATCATTCAATGACGAAGGGATAAATAGATAACCACGAAAACTTGTAGTTAGATATTGCACATGCAATAGTATTTATTAATTATAAAGCATATCATCACATAATGACAGACGAAAATCTGGAAATTTTGTAGTTGGACATTTAGAAATGTTAGGGGTAATATTTAATTATTAATGTTGAATTATGAGTCATCTTTCATGGACTTCATGGAATGCCAACTGTTGGTAATCTGATAAAAAAAAATATTGGGGTTTTTTTTGAGGATCAACTATATGCAGGTTCTGCAAGGGGACTCAAGAAACAAGCCACCACTTATTCTTTGTATGCAACACAATCGACACACTCCGAAAAGCATGTTATGGGTGGGCAAATTTATCTACTGTACTACCTTCAAATATCGAACAACATTTCATGCAGCTGCTGTGCTCGATCTCTTTTGGAAAAGCAGCAAAAGGCTAGAAAATTTTGTGGTGCACAGTCGTATATAACATTTGGTTAGTCAGAAATAACATCATTTTAAGACAAGAAATATTGGACATTGAGCAACTTCAACAGAAAATCAAATATACAACATGGTCTTAGCTAAAAATGGACAAGGATTTCACCTTCAGCTATGCACAATGGGAGGCCGACCCTGGCACGTGCCTAACTTCATTTAGGTAACAGAGGATGTGATCCTAGGGGTAAGACAAGCAACAAGCAAGAAACACAATGAGCTGAATGTTGAGGGAGGTTCAGGGGACAAGGGAGAAGGGCTTAAATTATCAGTCACATGGCCACAAATGCAATTAGTTTTTTATTTTGTAATGGGTTTGTGGGCTTAAACCATCTTTATTCTTCTCTTCTTGGTTATCAGTAGTGTATTCATCTAAGCTATATTACTTCTAACCAAGTATCTTGTACATAAGGTTTTGGCACCCCTATTGCCATATAATTAAACTTTATTTTGCTGTTTAAAAAAAAATAAAATTGAATCTATCTAGAGATTTTAACTTTTAGGAAGTTTGAAGTTGAATATACTAATCAAACTCATATTGTTAAACTTTGAGAATTTTTTCATATTTTGAATACAAAATTTATCGTACTATACTTGTCTCACTAACAATCTATTTTAGGTGAAAAGTAGATGACTTGGAGTATGTTTTAGTTGATATGTAGTAGGTAAAAGTGGGTAGTACAACTATGTCAACTATATATGGAGCATTTATCCTTGTAATATTACAAGACTTCCAAATTAGTGTAACATGTAACATCTTTCAAACTTGACATCTCAACGGCTCCACTTTACAAAACTTTACACAACGACACTTCACAAAACATCTCGTTGGTTAGAACCTTCACCAATTAAAATTCTTTTGTGTGTAATCTTTCTGATAAGTCCATCCTCTTTTAAAATCAACAGCTGACCCCAAAAATTAACACAATACTTTTCAATATGTTTTGTCTTCACCCACATACTTTCAAATAAACTTTCTAAAAGATAGTGTAACATGCTGATATATGCAGAAAATGAATATATGAATGCCCATTACACAATTTTTCTTACCCAATTTGCTCTCCACTTTTTCTACTTATCTGTTTTTTTTTTAACATATATTTATAAACTAATATATATGCAATAGATCAATGTTGCCTTGTGGGTTGTGGTCCTATTTTATTAAAAAAAAAAATCAGAACAGCACATGTAGAGTGCTATGATAAGAACTCTTGATCATTAGTGAACAGTAAGAAAGGAACCTTTAATGTTTCAAATAACACTTGGCTTGAGTGCCCAAAAATTATATTTGTGTTCCTATCTATAGAAAAGTTAAAATATTATTAGTTTCAAACACATGTACCGATGTACGGGCCGGGTAGTGTGTGGCTGTGAGAACACGCAGTGTTAAATAATTTCCATCCTCATGAAAATTGGCAAGCTTCACAGGCTCAACTGAAAAATGGACACAATGGCCATTTTGCATTTTTAATTCTTCCTGTTTCTTTATTCTTTTTTTCTAAAAAAATATTTTTCTCTCTATTTCAAATTGTTTTTTTACAGCGATTTCAAATATGTTTTTAAGAAATAGTAAGTTTTATTATCTCCTATTTAATTAAATATACTCTTAGAATATAAGTAAATAAAAAAACAAGTGAATTATTATAAAATAAAGAAAAAATTATACTTGTACTTTCTCATATATTTAACAAAACTTCGTTCAATATATTCCTTTTTTTTTATCCTACACGGTTGTTTTTTCAATTTATACAAAAATATAATATTGTATATTTTCCAAGCTAACACACATAATAAAGTGTCTGATTTTTTTATATAACTATAGTATTTCGGCGTGTATATTGCATGTGATTCATTTTAATTATTTTATGTATTTAAAATTCATAATAAGTAAATATTCTTAAATATAAAATTTTGTATTATAATTAAAATGTGTATAACAAATGAATATTTTTTTATCATACATACTTAAGATTTATGATAAATAAATTATTTTATGATACAATATTATTTTAATCAATTGATTTTTCTAAAATATTGAAATTTAATTTACAAATAAAAATAATATACTCAGATACATAAGTAATTAAAAAAAAATTCTAAAATCATTATTATCAAAGAAAAATAGTTAAATAATATATAATGAGTATTCTTATTCTAACAATATCAAAATTTATTTGTATCCCAATAAAATAAAATAAATCATTAAATATATACCATGCAAATTTATCCTAAATATATAATATCAAATTACAATACCAACAAGTTGATGTAATTGGAATTGTTCTGCATAGATTATCTCTTCTTGGGTTGTGTGTTTGTCATCATCTTTTTACAGGTGTCGGTGGTGGTACTGCTTTATAAACTACAAGCTAGATTTGCTCTTTTTTCAGCCAATAGATGATGCTCAGTTCAACTTTTCAATTTACATCATACACCGAACACGTCTAATCATTATAAAAAAATTACTTTTAAATATATTATTAAAAACATTTGTAATCATAAATTATAATTACATATAATATATATTATTAAATTTTATTCAAAATTAACATTAAAAGTATATTTAATTATATATCAAATAAATTTATATATATATATATATATATTATATTTATAATAACATTTTTATATATTATTATATATATATCATTTCTTATAATAACATCCTGTTATGCCTTTGCGGTTTGCATGCATATTTTTCCACAACATGATCCCCTTGATTCTCATGATTCCGAAGTATCAATATGAAATAAAATATTTGCTCAAAGAAAGCAAACAAAGAATCCCATTTTTATTCTTGATCCATACTTCACTGCAGAGCTGGAAATCCACTTAGGAGGCACATGTGCCATAACTCAGCATTAATATTTTTTTATTTCAGCCTAAAGCAAATTATTATTTTATATTTTCATTATTTTGCAATTTAATACTGTAAAGGAAAAGGAGCTGCGCCGCTCAAATTAAGTCCACCGACTCCTCATATATGAATACTCATTTTATAATTTGTCTGTTCAAACTTTATACACCAATCTACATCATATAATAAATAATTTAAATATATAAAAACTGAGGGAAAAAGGTTGTATAATTGGTCCTCATTATCATTGATTCATTGATAGACAAAATCATTTATAGGGTCAATGAAAATATTGGTGGTGGTGCTGATTAGGCCAGGGCCAAAAATTCTGTTGTGCATCGATGTTGTGAAGCATGTTGCAGAAGGCTTCATCTTGAAGATCTGGCCTTGACGAAGATTGAAGGATCTGGTTTATGCTGGTGGACTTTAAAGTAGGTATTTGAGAAGATACAGAACTGTTCAAAACTGGTGTGCTTGAGAGATCTAAATTAATGTCTAAGCTGTTACCACTTCCATTGGCCCATGAACCCTCAGTTTCTTTGTTAAGGCTGATTGTTCCAGCTTCAGGCCAATCCCTACTTTTCACTGCTTGTAACTGCAAACAACATACAGTAGAGAAAAAAAAAATATTTAAGAAAGTCAAGATGATCAAGTATGAACATGCCTTTGGTATATATAATTTCAAGGCTTAAACCCTCAGTTTCCTTTATGAACATGCCTGTGTATGTTAGTAAAAGTTGAAACACATTGAAAACCAAAAAAAATAAATACTACTAAGAAATCAATAATACAAGTGTGGTATAATAATATAATAAATGAAACGCACTAAAACTCAAAGTAAAAGGTGTTAGTCTTCTAACAAAGTTAAATAGACAAGGATATATATGCGTTCTTTCTTCCAGCATGAAAATTTTTCAAAGGAGACAGAAATTAAATTTCGTATAGATTAGGAAAACTTCATACTCACAAAAGTTACAAAATATAACAAGTTGATATCCAGAAAGTCAAGGATGCATGAACTAGCACATCTAGAGGAAAAAAAAATCTAAATTCTAAAAGAAAAAGGAGGAAACAGGAATGAGAAAACCCCATTCTTTTATTATAAAAAAATGGAAAAATCCAACCAAAAAACGAATATTTGAATTGGAGTCATACTCTCCTATATATCACTATCCATACAAATGGTTAATTATTTAACAAATATTGAATATATTTCCGAATCAAGATCAAGAACAAAGTTTAGTAATATTAACAACCCCTAGATCCTGATCAGTATGTTCATATGCTTGTTCCTCCCCTGTATCCATTTCTCCAAAAGCTTTATTATTTTAACTGATAAAAAAATTAACTACAAAATAAATTGTCAGTACAAATGATTTGACTTTTAATTTTTAATTAAAAACTGAAGTATGATTTTCGTTTTAGACATGGAGTTGAGATCAAATATACCACTTACGACTAACCGGCCCGGACAAGGATGTTTGTTAAAATAAATAAACTAACTAGCTAGTATGGAAAATTCAATGATTGATCCAAGCACAGTACTAGATAATAACCTCTGCATGTAGTTTCTGGTTCTGAACTTTAAGAACATCATTGTGAGCCTTGACTGCTTCAAACTGCTTCTTGAGGACTTCATATTCCTTCTCCAATTGCTTGGTTTTCCATCTAGCCCTTCTATTCTGAAACCATATGGCAATCTGTCTTGGCTGCAACCCCAAGGTCTTAGCTAACTGCACTTTCCTTTCTGGCTCAAGCTTGTTCCCCAACTCAAAACTCTTCTCAAGGGCCTTCACCTGTTCCAAATTCAGCCTCCTCTTCTTCTCCCCACACTGGAAGATTCCATCATCTGATAACTCATCGTCTCCATCCACTAATGCATCGCACTTGTTGTCAATGCCTGAAAAAGACATGGACTGCTTCAACATAAAAGGTGCACCCACTGCAACATAACACAAAACACACCATTTTGTGTTATCAAATCGAAAAAAAAATATATGAAAAAGTAAATAGTATATACACAGATAATGTGAATTGGTTTAAATATATTTAGTCACTTAAAATTGAGGATAAATTTGTTATTAATTCTTTAATTTAAAATTTCATTTTTTAGTCATATAATTTTTTTAAAAAATCTTATTTTAATTTCTTATAATTCACTGATAAAATAATTGACAATGATAAATTAAAATAATAGTGTAAATTAACTAAATTTAATATGATTTATATTTACTAACAAGAATATTAGTCATGAATTTTGTACAACACTTTAATATAGATAAGTTTTATTTGATAAGTTCATTAACGATATTTAATAAAGACATTAAAATAAAAAAAATGAAAATTAAATGAACTAAAAAAACTTAATTTTAAATTTAAGAGTCAAAACAAATTATGTGAGGGATTAATTAAGAATATATATTTAAGCCGTAAGTTATGTTTTCATTCAAGTATTAAAATTAAAGGAGTAAATCGTAATATAATAATAAAATAGGAATTGATGAAGAAAAATTAAAAGTATTAATACGGTGTTCAGAAATACGAAATGTATAAAAACTATTGCTCTAAATTAAATCGAACAAGAAAGAGCAAATACCAAATAGTATGTATATATATATACTGACCGTGTAAATCATAAGCTTGTTCAATAAAAATAAAATAAAATTAACAGACAGTGCTGTGAGAGAAGGAGGTGATTGAACCTTGAAAGAGTTGGGGTGGCAAAGAAGGGAAGTCGTTGAGAGAGGTTGACGGGAGGTGTTCGTGATGTTCTTCTTCATGAGTGTTAAACATGAAACTGTGAGAAGGTGGGAAAGCCATGGTAGAATGAGAGAGGAAGTGATGTGATAGTGATATATGGTTCATGCAAATTGGTGTATATCTCTTACTGTTTCTCTTTAAGGAGGGTTGGCTCTCACTCTCATGATGACGATGTGTGCAGAGACACCCAAGGACAGCGATTTTTAAGTAACCACTGTGTTCTATGAGAGAGAGAGTTAGATCCCAGTTTGAATGCATTGACATCCCTTATTGATGCTTATAATATATCTAGAGGAAAATAATCTATGAAACTTCAAATCCTATTAACTAACAGCCAAACAGAGACAGATAGAAGAAAAATATAAATAAATATGATACACCATGTGATACAAAATAAGATAAAAAAACATATTAATAAAGTGATTCATATATAAAAGTATTTATTATATATCATTACTCTTATCAATATAGGCTTCTTAGTTCATATAAGTACATATATATATATATATATATATAAAAAGATTTTAAAATAATTAGGTCTGTAAATTAATTTTGAGTTATACAAAAAACAATTATTCATTTACGTACTATCTTAGATACGCAAGGTAATGGAATATTTTGAAAGTTTTTAAGTGTATGTACTAATTAAATTATATATATATTTAAAATATTTCTGCATTTATATATATATATATATATATATATATTATTGTGCTCAACATTGCACGTTATTTTTCTAGTGATTATTGTCTAAAGCATTATTAAGTTTTGGTGTCTTATCTATAGTATTTTAGTTTATAACATTCAGTGTAGAGTTTTTCTTGATAAAAATACATATTGTATACAAAATTATACAACGAGTTTTAGAGGATAAAAATCATTTATAAAATCTTTACACACATTCTTGATTTCATAAAAAAACTTACTTTTTTTTTTGTTACGTGTATTAGTATATATATTAAATGTCACAAGTTCTTGGTGTGCTAGAAGTCAATCATTGTATTATATTTTATATAAAAATTAAATATTTGATACAATATCTAAAGAATAGTTTCGGATATATATTGATACGTTTACATTGGATCATGGATAAGTTCATATTCAATTATTCTATAATTAAGCTCGATGCAGAACAAAATTATGCATGAAACTATATATAAGCTGTAATTCGATTATACTATTCGAGAAAGATCAAAGATCGATCGAGGCCATATAATACTTTATATATATATATGAGATATTTTGGCCTTGTATTGCTCACCAATCACTATAGGCTGGAATTAGAAATTGGGTTCCAAGTCTGGTTTGGTTAACCCTGTCCACACCATATCAAAGGAAAAGAAAATCCAATGAAAACAAAGCTTGGTTTTGTGGAGAAATGTCTCTTGCTTGCCAAAGACGACAAAGTATTTAATATTTTGACATGTATTAATTTATTTAGCTTTAAATTTATTTTTAAAATGAGTTATACAGGTTCAGCGATAGGGGTTGATCCATATTTAAGAAAGGTCACGGATTCAAATATTGCCTTGTGTATGCAGTTGCGTTATAAATAGTTCATGGACGAACCAAAATAGAAAATGAGTTATACAGATTTTACATGCATATATTTAATTTTAAACTCGGTGCTAGTAATTGAACATGGATTACTATTAATTTATGTACTGGCACTTCCAAAGTGATGATTCATATTATATTGTTTTCGTATCGGCCGGTTTTGGATATTTGAAGAACATAAGAAAACTACAACAAATTTATAAGGAAATTACGTACAAATTCTTAAAATTACGATGTACATAGTTGTTTACCTAAAAGTTTCTTATACAAATAACTTTTCATTTATTGTATTTGCTTCGAATTTTGAAATGCCAAAAACCCAAGAGCGTAGAAAACAAATATTATTTGCAGGACTAAAATTAATTTATTAAAATACATATGTACGTTCGATTAAAAAAATCCAGCGCACATGCATATATATTTGACAACAAGTTTTAATTGAGTTGGAATATTGCTCTTGCATAAGCCAAATTAAAACAATAGGTCGTGTGATGAGTCGACCTGGCATTATTTGGCAAAACTAAAATCCAGAATCCAAAGGAGAAAATATATTGAAATGCAAGTCTCCGGTAGTCATTTTGTAAGGAGAGGATTAAGAATACACTTAAAACACTTTCTTTTATCAACTTTTTTTATAAGTTAAAATTTATTAAAATTATAAAACTATAATGAGATTTCTTAAATAAAATTAAAGTAATATATAATTTTTAATTTTTAAAAAACTCAATATTAAAAAAAATGTATTGAAAATCTATTACCATCATTTCTCATTAATTGTATATATTCGTGAGAGATGGAATTTGCACTTGGAAATTATACTAGAAGGATTTGACTAAGGAGAAAAGTCGAACATTGCTTGAATCTTACCAAGGACCAGATAAGTTTACAAATAACTCAAAAATATTGTTAAAGGTAAGTAAGCAAATGATGGGTCCATCCTTAAGGTCCAAGTCCAATAAGGTTAATATAAATAATAATATATTAAAAGAGAGAAGGTACTTTTTGTATTTATTATAACATTAATTGTGTTGATTTGTGTGATGCCTAAGATTGACTTGAACGTTCAAGTGTATTTTGCAAATACCCTCATTTTTCCTTCTCGAACATGTATTGTTGAATACTACTCCTTTCATTATTAAATGTAAGTAAGTATATTTTGAATCCTTTGGGTAAGTGCAATTGAAAACTAAGAGAATGCTAAGTACGAAGACTACGAGAATAATAACTTATTGGACGGGGATTAAAGTGATAAAATGATTCGTGTAGCCTTGTGTAGGTACATTTGATGTCTACTATGGGGCCCATTTGATAGTCCTTGTTATCCTTTTATTTTGCAAGAAGGGGAACTTTTAAAGGATGGTGACTACAAGAAAGAACATGAAATATGCACAACCTGAATAAGACCTATTATTGTGGAGGATCAAACTGATCTCTTTGATGTTGTAAGAATACTAAGGAAAGATATGATTGTTATCTGACAAGCTCATGAGCATATGATTCCTAAGAACTTTCAACACTTAGGAGGGAGAATGTTGAACTAACTAGTCTTAATAGAACTTGGGTTCCTATAGGTCAAACTAATAATGAAGCTTTTTCATATCATGTATTGACAACTCTATATGTTCAAGTGTCTCTTGTATAGTTTTTGGCTATTCCTAATTAGGGTCCTCTTCAGTTTGGAACTATGACTGAAACATATAAACACCCCTTTACTTAGAGAGTTATGGAGATTGTGTTGTCGAATAATTGAAGAAGTTTTCTATTAGAAAAATATGACGAATCATGGTATCTGGATGAGCATTTCAATGCATATTTCACACAAGTTGCTGAACTTACTCAAGATAATGCAACTTTGTGTCATATATTCCTTATATTTTTAAAGGCTAGGACACTAATAATTGCCAAAATATGCATTTGTATTTTATTCAATTTCGGAAATTATTGATCTATTTTATACTTTTAAATTAATGTTAGTTTTGACCATAAAACACTTCGTCAAGAGATAATTTAAATTTTAGTTTAATTTTTTAAATATTTGGTATTTTTTTTTATGTTTTTTCTTGGTTGAAATGGAACACAGGAGAAAATAATTTAAAAGCTACAATTTTCAAAGGGAAAGCATCACTTCAGGTTGCACAAAATCGTCACTCTAAGCGAGAAAAATTCCTTAGAACTATTGTCGCCACCGGCCCGAAACGGGCTTTCGGCATTCGCGAAGGATGGTTGGACTCGTTTATTTGTTTTAAAAAAATGTGGATTGCTAGAATGACTTATTCTCAAACTGAGATCTCGTCAAACGAGCAATTTTATTAAAAGGCTCACTAATCCATATTAATCCCAAGCGGGACCCTCCATGGATTAGTGGTTTTCATAAAGAGAGGGTTCGTGGAGTCGCCACCAATGTTTTACTCAAAACATTGGAAAAAGGGATAAGGCAATTGATTTAAAAATCAACTTTGGCCACTACAACCAGAGTTGGGTAAGGGAGTCGGTTACGCGTGGGGAAGGTGTTAGCACCCCACGGCGCCCCTTTCGGGTTCCCTATGACAGATTATTTTTAAAAGAACAGTATAAAATTACTAAATTACCCCTATTTATTCTAAACAATTATGAATTGACTATCTACATGATGACAGTTTAAATATGCACACAGAAAGCAGTAAAAGGAAGGATTGAAGGGAAACCTCTTGAAGCGTGCTTTTT